TTCTATGACCACGTTCTGACAAACAGCAGTGAACGTTCTTTTTGCCTTTGCCGCTGGCTTCACAGTCGCAAATCTCTACTACAACCATCCTATTCTCAACCTCCTTGCTAGAGACTTCGGTGTACGGTATGAACAGGTAGCGCAGATTCCCACTGTCATGCAGGCAGGATACGCAACTGGACTACTATTTCTATGTCCTTTGGGGGACTTGCTTCCAAGAAGACCTTTTGTATGCGGCTTGGTAGCATTCACAGCAACATTATGGTACGTCTACCACCCTAATTTTCTTATTTCACCTATAGCTAACTAAAGACAACTATCTAGGTTGATACTCTGCCTAACAAATGACCTGGGAACCTTCACCGCAATATCTTTCATCGTAGCTATCACAACTGTAACCCCTCAACTCATGCTCCCTCTGGTCGGCGATCTCGCACCACCCTCCCGCCGCGCTGCTGCCCTCTCAATCGTTGTGTCTGGCCTGATGCTCGGTGTGCTTGTCGCCCGCGTCCTCTCCGGTACCATATCTAACTACACGACATGGCGCGCAGTCTACTGGATGGCACTCGCCCTGCAATACACAATCTTCGTCTTGCTCTGGCTCTTCATGCCAGACTACCCCGCTACAAACCGCGGCATGAACTACTTCCGCATCCTATTCGACATTGTCAAGATGCCGCGCAAGCACCCCATCCTCGTCCAGGCTTGTCTCACAGGCCTCTTTACCAGCGCACCCTTTACATCCTTCTGGACAACACTAACCTTCCTACTCGCCGGCGAACCATTTCACTACTCCTCCCTCACAATCGGTCTCTTTGGCCTCATCGGTATAGCCGGCATGCTCATCTCCCCCATCTACGCCCGCACAGTCACCGATCGCTTCGTCCCCCACTTTTCCGTATTTTTCGGTCTCTCATGCTCGCTCGTCGGCGTCTGTCTAGGCACCTACATCGGCACGTTTACCGTTGCCGGCCCCGTGCTGCAGGCTCTCCTCATGGATTTCGGAAATCAGACAGCGCAGATTGCGAATCGCTCCGCGATCTACAGTGTAGAGCCGAAACGAAGGAATGGCGTTAATACCGTGTTTATGGTTGCGACGTTTTGTGGGCAGCTGATTGGAACTGCTGCGGGGAATCACGTCTACGCGGCTACGGGGTGGATTGGGAGTGGAAGTCTGAGTGTCGGGTTTGTATGCGCAGCTCTATGTGTTATGCTAGCCAAGGGGCCGTATGAAGACGGGTGGGTGGGGTGGAGCGGCGGCTGGAGTATGAGGAAGAAAGATAGGGATAGTGCGGATGGGAGGACGAAGGATAAGGCGTTGCATGGGCCGGTGGAAGCAGTGGAAAGCAAGACGGGGGCGAACGAAAAGGCGCTGGATGAGCTTGCTGCCGAGGAAGGGAGGGGGGGAAATACTACGTCAGAACCGGGTGTGAGTAAAGAGGACGAGGAGATACATTCGGCGAGAAAAGAAGGAGTATAGATAGTAGTAATAGATTTTAAGAATTTGATTAATAAAATTGATGTATACGATGATTCGTGTTTTTGAACTCTGCATTTCCATAATGTGTGCTTCATTCCGAGCATTTCAGTCTGAGAAGAAATATCGCCACTTTCATCGTCTATCGCGCATTCTAATGTAAGAATTATGGTACAAAAACCCCTTCTTTCCTCCTCTAATCGCAACACAGCTTTTTTTCTCACTGCGTAGGCTTCGGCGCATTCGACGCGTTCATAAACGCGTTGATGTGCTCGTCGGACGGCAGCTTCTCAAGAGGCGTGAGCCAGCTCTTCGCCTTATCGAAGCGGGAAACCGCTTTGACGAGCTTGATGAAAACTTGCGTGTTGCTCTTGTCGACACGGCCCTTGAATTTGAGGATGAGATTCTGGATGTTCATGCCTTGGGGTGGGAGAGATTCGTAAATCTCCTTTGCGGAAGGCAGAGAGGGTTTGGATGGGCCAGCGGAGGGGCTACCTGCGCGGCTACCGTTTGCGGCGGGGCTGCCTGCGCGACTAGCACCAGGAGTACCGGCGGGCGATCCACCAAGCATGATGCGGTTCTTTTCTTTCTTTTCCTTCTTCCGCTTCTTACCCGCATCGGTCATCTCGCTATCACTACCCGAGCCTGCGCCCTTGAGATTGCCAAGAGTGGATTTCCGAGATCCATCAGCCAGCTTTTCGTGGTGCTTCTTCTTATGCTTCTTACGCGACGATTCGTTGCCACTTGCTTCTGAAAGATTGGGAGAACCAGGCCGCTTTTTACTCTTGGATTCCCCAGGCTTGTGGTTGCCCGAGGGGGTGTTGGAGCCCTTGGTGGATGCACCAGACGGAACATTGCCAGCTTCTGGGGCTTTGCCGTTTTGCTCAGCTGCCTTCTTCTCTGCCTCTTCCTTTGCCTGTTGTCGCTCCGTCTCAGAGTCTGTGTCCGACTCGCTCTCGGTAAGGTATGGGTTTTCCGGGTCGCTGTCGAGATAGTCATATTGTTTCTCACGCTTGGCTAGCGTCTTGCGCGTGATCTTCTCCATGGCTCTCGTCTCCTCAGCAGCCCTACGCTCCTCTTCTTCCTTTTGTGCTATCAGCTGCTCGTCGGGACGATCCCAAAGGGCTGCTTGCAGCTGATCACGCTTCAGCTTCTCTGCTGCTTCCTTGACGTCTTGCTCTTCACCCTCAAAGAGACCATTGAGTCCTTCTTCATCGTCTGCGAAGTCTTCTTCAAGGTTGAAGTCAATATCGTCAGCATCAGCTTCCCGTTTGACAAAGCCAATTGTATCATCATCAAAACGCTCCCGCTTGATCCGGCCCTCGTCATCAGCACCACCGCCCACACGCGTGCGCACTCCGCTGAACATCCGTGCCTCATCTTCAGCCTTCATACGCTGCGCTTGACGTCTCTCAAGCTCTGCAAAAAATCTGGGTCCACCACTCTCGACCTTGGCCAAGATTTTGTCCACGTCCTCGCTAGTCGGCTTGATCTTGCCCTTGACATTGAATCTGTACCAGCGCTCCATAGGCGCCATTTGTATGGCCGTATTTGGGTCACCAGGACGTGTGGCTGAGAGCATGACGTGTGTCTCTGACAGCTCCGATTCGTAGGTACCTACCCATGTCTGCTTGTTCTCGTAGTCCTCCAAATGCCAGGGCAATGTTTCTTCGTAGCGTAGCAGCTGCCGCTTCTTTGCTTCTGGAGTATCGTCGGGTCGGTACTTCTGCTCCGTCTTCTTGTGGAAGGCAGGAGGTTTCTTCATGCCGGTAGGCGCGATCTTAGCCTGATTCTCTTCGCGTACTTTGCGTCGCTCTTCCTTCTGCTGCTCAATGCGCTCGCGTTCCTTTATCTCTTCCAAATCCTCTTTTGTATCCTCCTCTTCGTAGTGTGATCCGATACCACTAGGAGGCGCGCGGGGATCTCGACGGTGGAGCTTGATGGGCGGAGTGAACTGCTTCTCATCGGTAATATCAACATGGCTCTTGCTCTGCAGGCGCATGACGTGGTGTCGCAGCTCTTTCAGGTCCTTGCGGCTCACGATGAGTGGAAAGACGGTGGCGCCTTGATCGAGATACTCCTGCCGCAGCGCGTCTTTGGAATGCGTGCCATCAGCGGCTGGGCCTGGCGGGGGCTTCCTAGCCTCATTCATCTGCGATAAAGACACCATGGGCTTGGTGATATTCTGTAGCGGACGCCGGGGCTTTCGCAGGACATCAGCCTGGGGACGCGGGCGACGGCGACGAACAGGCATCTGCTGCTGCGGTGGCTGCGGTTGCTGCGACGGCTGTTGGCCATTCGAGGCGACGGGCGCGATGGGCGCTGCAGTAGGCGGCTGGCTTCCATTCATTGCGCCGTTCATTATCAAATTGTGGTTATGAGGATGAGGACAAGAATGAAGGCAGCAGGTGGGCAGATAAAGACTGGCCGGAGACGAAGTTGCCTTTGTCCCAAGGAGCGTCGTGCTTCAAGGCCGAACCGCAGTTGGAACGTCACAGCTCCACGCTAGTTGTTTAGCGCGCCAAGCCCGTCGCTCGCTGTGAAGCCCTGCCTCCGCCCCCCCAAACATATAGTGAACACCATGACTAGCAATCGCCAAAATTATCATCAATTGCAACACCCAGTCTGCGCTCTCTCCAACTAACAGGGACAGTCTCGGGATAATAATTTCCTAGGCACATATGGATCATCAAGAAAGACATCGACTTCTCACTCCACTCTAGGCATCCATCGACCCAAAGTGTGGCTTTGGCCAGAGGGCCGAGTGCCTGAAACGGTCAACGGCAGCCGCCGCCATAAGAAAATTCAAAGCGGGAGTTGATTTGCTGCGTCACCGGCTGCTTTCAAAGATACGCAAACACACCATCACCTCCTTAAAAATCATCTAGGATCACTTCTCGCCTTTTCGAAAGAAAAAGCATCTGCTGCCGCGAGCAAACGCTCAAAAATTAGTTACAGCCATTATTTGAGTCTCCCTCAACGACTAGACTAACTCAACAGAATGGAGCAGGCGAATTCATCGCAGTCTGCTGGACTGGAAAGTCAGTTACGCAACATGATACTTAGTAATGTGAGCATGCCTGGACAAGTCACTCAAGATCATCAACCAGGCCGTGGTCGTGGGCGAGGACGGGGCCGGGGCAGAGGCAGAGGCAGGGGGCGTGGGAACTTCTACAATGGCGCAGACGGTAATTACCATGATCACTCTGCTCCAAATCAAGATCATAGTCAAAGTCAAGGATGGCGCGCGGACCCCTCCGTGAATGGTTCTCTACCCAGGGGAGGTGGACGAGGACACTACTCCAACCAACGGCATCAGCAGCTCCCAACAAATTCCTACAACGCGTCAAAAAATGGCCTGGCCCCAGACAGCCAATCACATGTCTCCAAGCCATTTAGACAACACCACCATCAGCAGTGGAACCAGAACGCAGATGGTACCCCGCGTGCATACCCTCCAAGGGCTATGCAGCGCCCACGAGGAGACGCTCGTCCACAAGGTTCGTATGTACATCATACACAGATGAATCAACCTCAGGAGAACCAACAAGCCCAGGTCAAACATCTAGATATGATTGCAGCAGAAGAGATACCCAAGGTTGAGATGTCCAGGTCTGAGTTGGAGTCCAAAGAAGAATTCAGGCGGCAGTTGGAGACGATCATGAAGGAAGCACTCGCCAGGGAATACTCAGGAGACATCTCAACAATGTCTCTTGTCGGCTTTGGCAGTCTCGCATCTGGCTTTGGACTTCCCGGCTCAGACATGGACCTCGCAGTGATACCAGACTGGAAGGACCCCGCAAGAGCTCATGAAGTCGAAATTGATCGCTCTATTCCACGACTATTAGAGCGGGCAGTGCTTGATGCAAAATTTGGTGGCAGGCTCCTCACACGAACGCGTGTGCCTATTTTGAAAATCTGCCAACATCCCACCGACAAACTATTCGCAGCTCTTACTGAGGAACGTGAGAAGTGGGACCAACTCCCTGAAGAGGAGAAGTTTCCCTCAGATCAGCCACAGGAACCACCTGTGCAGGGTTCGGTGCCTCGATCCAAGCTATGGAAGCAGTCTGATGATGAATTGATGCTTACTGCTCGCAAGCTGTTCGAACCCTCTGATAGTGAGGAGATCATTGTTATTCGAAAGCAAATCAAAGATTCAGACGATGAGATAAAAGCCGCAGCCCACTTAGCGATTTCTTCTGATCCAAACTGGCAGGTTAACTGGGTAGAGTTGATAGAAAGAGCTCAGGCCATACGCGAGGCTCAAACGAAGACGGAGTTCCCCGAGCCTACACCTCCACAAACAGCTGCGAAGACGGATGAACCTGCCAACGATAGCCCTGAGGATAAGGCTAAAAAGGCTCAAAACCAACGCTCCGATAAATCTTGGACACGGGAGAAGGTAGTCGGTCCACTGGATTTCCCCAAGGATGGTTGCGGTATCCAGTGCGACATCAACTTTGCAAATCCACTCGGCATTCACAACACTCACATGCTCCGCTGTTACTCTCTAACCGATCCTCGCGTACGCCCCATAGTCCTCTTCGTCAAATCCTGGGCCAAGCGCCGCAAAGTCAACAGCGCCTATTCTGGTACCCTCTCCTCGTACGGATGGGTTCTCATGGTCTTGCACTATCTCGTCAACATCGCCTCACCACCTGTATGCCCGAACCTCCAATACGCTGTCCCACTACCCACCGATGCGGCTGCTCTAGAACAATACTCCAAAAACACCAAAATCTCCGGCTACGAAGTCCGCTTCTGGCGCAACGAAGAGGACATCATCAAAGCAGCAGCAGAAGGTCGTCTGACGCAGAATACGCAGTCGATTGGCGCCCTTCTCCGCGGCTTCTTCCAGTACTTTGCCGCACTGTCTGGCTACGGATACCCGAGACCACCTCAGTTCCACTGGACAAACGAAGTCCTCTCGCTCCGCACGCCCGGCGGTATCGTGACGAAGCAGAGTAAAGGCTGGGTCAGCGCAACGACGAAGATTACTGCTGAGAAGAAGGTCACGAATCGGTACCTGTTCGCTATCGAGGATCCGTTTGAGACTGACCATAACGTCGCGAGGACGGTGACGCATCGGGGTATCGTTGCTATCCGAGATGAGTTCCGTAGGGCATGGAGGATTCTCAGAGTTATTGGTACGGAGAGAGAGCCTGAGGGGGGGCTATTTGATGAGATTATTGAGGAGCCGGCTCCGTCTGATTTGAAGACCGAGGAGGTGCCAAAAGGTGCTCTGGGTGTTTAGGTGTTAAGGACGGGCTTGCGTACAGTGAATGTGTTGCAGTGTAAGAACAGTTTCATTCGGAGGACGGCACTTTCGGTGTTATGGATTTCGGTACTGTTGTTTCGGGAGGTAGAATGTGTAGGCGTCACGGAATCTGAGAGGTACACATCTGGCTTACGGCTACGATTGACGAATGGGATCACGATGTCATCTTTACCTTGCTATCAATGTGGGGAAAGGATATGGGAAATATAGATTTCTATGTACACACGTACTAGATTCAACCTCATCAACGGCTCTAGACACAACTCACTCGACTCATCACACTCAAATTCTAGAACCACTTGCGATATTCAGAAATAACAGGGTATCATTACTCTTGAAGCTTCTACCTGAATAATCATTCACATATCTCTCTTTTTTTTTCCCCTCCACACTCATGAACAAAGATAATAACCGCTAATCCCATCCCCTATCCCCATCTCCCTCCACATTACACAAAAAACAAAACACAGGCAGTCCAAACCTTCACTTCTTCCCAATACTAAACCCCCTCGTCATAAAATCCGCGCTATTCCCCGCGGAAGCCTTATGCTCCTTCTTACTAAACAAACTACTCACGTTTTCATTCTGCGCCATCTTGCGCCGCTTATTCCTTTCTTCCTGCTCTTGCAGCACTTTTCTCGTTAGCGAAGCTGTGGCGCTGTTTTTGATTCCGTCACTCGTCGTCGTAGTAGACACAGGCTTAGTTGTGGCAGCGCCGTTGTCTTTGGGGGCGGCTTTTTTATCTTCGTCGGAGGACGAGGAGGGTTTGGTGGAGGCGGAAGAGGTGGTGAGTTGAGTTTGTTCGTCGGTAGTAGCGTGCTTGCGCTTCTTTTTGCTACCGGGCGCTTTTTTCAGCGCGTGCGTGAGACCTTTTTCTCGTAGCGTTTTCAAGCGGAGGTTTAGGCGCGCGATGTCGGTGGGTAGGGTGGGAAGGATGGGTATGAGGTCGTTTTCGGCGTAGGGTTCGTTGCACTGAGATGTAAAAGGTTAGTTTGTACTCAAAACAGACCAAGATAGGGAATGGGGAAAAGTTAACTTACAGTCAAACACGCCTTCTCAGATATCTCCTTCATAACACTCCCTGCGAAAGCGTGGCCACAGGGTACTACGTACACGGCCTTACTTCCCGCACCCAGTCGCTCCTCTGTAATCGGACACTTCCACTTTTCGCCCGCGCCAGACTCCGCTGCGGTGTCGACTTCGAACTTGATTTCGACAACATCCTTGAGGCCCTTGACTCTGTCGCCAAATGTACCTAGCTCGGAGTCCTTGACGCCGCCAATCTTCTTCATCTCGGCTTTCTCGACATCGCTGTCGTCTTTGAGGAGGTACTCGATGATGGAGTCTTTGTTGTAGAGGATGCCGGCTGCGTCGGATACCACGGGGCGGGCGAGCGGTTTGCGGGTAAGAGGGTCGGTGGACCAGGCGTATTCTTGTTGTTCGGTTTGCGCCTCTTTGATTTGTGCGGTTGTTAGGGCTTTTGCAGCTTCTTTAACGAGTTCGCGCCGTTTGGGGATGGATCCGCCGTCGTTACCCATGGTGGTTGGTTATGCGCTGGGTACCTAGGTGAAGGTGTTGTTGTTGTGGAATGGTATGCTGGATGTCTTGTGAGAGAGGCCGAGAGTTGCGGCCAAAGCCGCGGAGGTTCGAGTAGTTTTGGGACATGCACGTGCCATCACTACCAGTACAATTCTATCTTCACAAATTACTAGCCGTCTTGCTAGACATCGAGTATATGTAGTCATGAAGAGTAATATGATAATATTGTACAAGTACTTTTTGGGTCATACCGTCGTTTCAAAAAACCTCATAAGTAGCATATCTTACATGTCCGTCGTAGCCGAAGAGACTCTCGTCTTTCGCCGCACCGGTCTCTCTATTTGTCCCATCCATTGTTTCTTCCACTCCGGCCTGCTATCTTCTTTCTCTCCTTCCTGGACCTCTCCTTGATCTGCCTCTCCCTGGAGATTCTCACGTGAATTCTCTTCTTCGGACGGAGCTGCCTCCTCGACATTCCCCTTTGATCTGGAATGCCCATCCTGGAACAATATCCTCTGAATGAAAGCAGATAGGCGTGCTCGTTCAACCTTAAACGGAGCCTTCATCTCCTCGGAAATCAGGTTGCTAAACAGCAGTTTGTCGTACACACCGTGTATCTTCCTCAATGCCGTGATTGCATCTTGCCTCTCCTCGCCCTCCAAATACTGAGGACCCGCAACCCTCCTGTGTCTCCTCTCTCTACCGCCAACGCCTAACTGAAGCCGAATGTTCTTGGCGATAGGATTGAGGATAGTAAGTGCGTCCACCAAATCCGAGCCCTTGGCAAGAGGAAAACTGGTTGCGAGCTCCGCATACATGGTAATGGTCTTCGGGTCAGCATCTTCCAAGATCTTGAACATCATGTTTAGAATCTGGCTGGCGTGTTTGAGAGAGTTGTGGTTGTTCTTGTCACGAACGCAGGTACTCATGGCGATTCTGAATGTGCCGGGGCGAGGCGCGATATCCTTTCCAATCATGTCATCTTGTAATAGTTGAACTGCATCAGCGGAAGCACGGTTGAGGCGAAGATTCCGCAAGCGCATGTGTAGGTTGATTCGATCCGGCACGATCTTGTAGGTCCTAGGGTCGGTCAAGAGATCCCAATATTCTTGTGCAGCCTTGTTCGCAACAATTTTCTGGCAAGCCTCCTGAATGATAGAGAGTGTGTTATTACCCGGTCGAACATATGCGAGGGAATGTGGTAAGGCACCCTTGGGTTTCAGAGGAAGGAATTCGTCTCCACGCGCAGGTGTGTTGTCTGGCGAAAGGTGCTCGTCGTCTACGCGGTACTGTGGTGGTACGTTCGGGGCTCGTAAGTGTGGGAAACCTGCTTTCCGCCGGTCCGCAGTGCCCAGTCGAGGTACAAGTCGTGGGATATCCATGGTCTGTTCCACCAGAGAAAGCACATCGTCCCAGTCTCGCGGCCGACTGCCTACTAGCAGAAGTCTTCCCATTGCACACACCAGTTCCTCGTCAATGACCAGATCTGCATTCCTCCACCTCCCAATGATATCCTCCCACATACGCCGTGCTTCTATGATACCACGCTCTTTCCTAGCTGCAGTTTCCTCTTCACTCTCCCCTTTCGGTGCGTTTATCAACAAACTCTGTCGTATGGCGTTGATAATGGTAATGTAAGTAATTGCGTTCGCCGACCCGGGTCCACTCTCAGCAATCTTCCCAGCAACGCCCCATAATGCATCCATATCGCCTGCTCGCGCACAAACTTTCAAAGCAGCATTTGTATGTATGATCGAAGGTTCGACTCGCGAGTTCGGTGCGGAGAGAGAATGGTATACGGAAAGGGCATGGCTAAGAACACCTGATGTATGCGCGTTCAAGGATAAGCCTCGGAGCAAGATTGTATACGTATAGGAATCAGGGAATTGCGCTCGCTTTTTCATCTGTTCAAAGTCAGCATTGCCCCACGCCGCTCATGTTCACAAAACGGACATCGTTGTACACTTTGAGTGCATCCTTGACCCGCTCTTTGGCCAGAAGGTGATCGATTATGTGGTTCCAGCTGACAATACATTGCATTGAGTGACTGGCCATGCGCACCAACTGCAGCATCTCTTCTACTCTGTCCTTGCTCAGTTCCTGCTTGACAAACGCCGCCAGGTCCAGCGGGTCCTGTAGATGCCGCAACTCTCTCTTCCTTCTATTCCAGTCGCTCTCTGACATGCGAGGGTCACGCCGGCCCAATTTTGCCAAATTGGGAGTCTCGTCGACCCTGTGCGCATGCGATTGCCGCAACGCCAAGATTTCGGTTCTTTTTTGCTTTGCCGCAAAGGCCGATTTCTTGAAGTGATCTTCGCGACCTCTCGAGCGTCCTCTGGCCTCACCCAGATCAGCGGATGTCCTGTCTTCCTGGCGTGCGACATTGAGGGTTGACAGCAGCCGCTGCTGGCTGTTTGCGAGAAGCGGATTCACATTGCAGCGCAGGCGGTGCGCATTAGTAGTCGGGGCATCGAGCGCCTGTATACATCGCCAAAGGCACGCACGACAGTTCAGCATGAGGTCGTGGGTGGGGTGGCAAGCGAGCCGTTGTGAGCAAAAAAGCGTAAATTGGCTGGGCTAGGGAAAAGTTGACCATGTCCGGCACAAATGCCGAACCAAACTCTAAGTTACGCGCACGTGATCCTCTGACCTAGCAACGGCCAATGACCCGAAACCTTGCGGAATCGTTCTGTATTGCCAGCCTCGTGGCTACTAGCAGTATTACATGCATACAATCCACGGGCACCAGCGTCATTAGCACAAACGCCAGGCCTTGCCGCCGCCCACGGCAGCGCGCCGTCTTCAAAGGACCCATCGAGTTTATACGCGCGCGGAAAAACAATCCTAGTCCAAGCGCCCAAAAAAAGTATGCCGTAACCACGCCTCACTCGAAGTAGCCGTAAAAGAAAAAAGACACCACTCCAAGGCGAACAAGCGTCCGGGATAAAAACCCACCAGTAAGGCTGAAAACAAAGTAAAAAAACCCACACTACTACTTTAGAGTCCGCGACCGAGTCTGCGGAGCCGAGAAAAGGGGGGAGGGGGGGAGGGGAAGGGATGTGGGTGGAGGGTGGAAGGGAACCAAGCACTATAACGCGGGAGAGCCAAAAAAAACCCCCAGACCAGGGCCAACAACCACCATCGTCACGCTTTTCTCGTAGGGCTTACGATCCTTTTGACCCTTTCGCCTCTCCCCCCCCCGCCGCCGCCGCGTGCGCGCGCGCGCAGCACGCCCCCTTACACCCACCCCAGTAGCTCAGGCTTCCTGAACCCATCGGCGTGGGCGCGCGCGATGACAAAAGGAAACTAGAACTACCGTAGAAAGGGGGGTGAGGGGTGGCAAAGGAAGGGGTGTGGGAAAAGGCTACCAACTGACTTGGGATTCGCGTGCTCTTGCACCCCCGACTAGCGCAACACACTCATGTGTGTGTGAGAGAGAGAGAGTAGTAAGGAAGGAGGAGTAGTCTATCTCCGGTTGAGAGAGAGAGAAAGAGAGGCTTGCCCTTGTCCATTCAGATTGCCCTTAGACTACTCTAAGTACCTTGTCTTAATATCTAACACTAAGCTGGCATTACCATGCTTCGTAGGAATTGGTAGTCTAACCATCTACATACGAATCCCGAGTTTTGGTCCCTTTTTTCTTCTTCTTAGAACTCATCTAAACGGTGAGCGTGTATGCACATCATCAGGCATCGGAGCTTTTTCTTAATGGCTCTTGTGTATCTTTATATTAGGACCAAGACGGCGGGATTCGGAGAGTTTTTGTTTTGCTTTCTACTAGGACGACCATGTGCGTGTAAGCCTGGTCGTCGGCTGTTTTCGTGCTACGAAGGCTTCGTGACTAGGTTTTGTACTCCAAACATACATGGTAAGCTAGGCTCTTGATGGATGTATTCGACTGGTGGTTGTTGTAGTAGTTGTAGTTGTAGTCGTAGTGACACCAAGTGCATTGTAGCCATGAACCATAGGACGATGATGTACTGTTGTGCGTGTGTGAGGACATGAACGGTAGTAGATGCCGCCCTATAGGAGCTGACCAGAGAGAGAAAATGTGTGGTGGTGCAGAGATTAGAGAGGAGGGAGACAGGGAGGAAGGGAGCAGAGTCAGCAGTCACCGCGCTCATCATGTGGCCAGCAATTCCAAACAGTGGCACCACCAAGCTCTGCGCGGCTTGTACGTACGTAAGTAAGTAATGCTCACCTTCTGTCCTGCTGGCCTCACCTCAGCATGCAAGACATCCGACCGTAGCACAGCGCCAGACGCACGCGCGCACGCCCACATCCACACACACCCCTCGTCCCTCGTGGCATCGGGAAGGAATCCTACGACCCAAAAACACTACTGCCGTGTAACGGCGCTTGATCTACCCACCATCCCTCAGACCAGCAGTAGCACCATAGCAAGCCCATGCAAGCCCATTTATGCTAGTTGCCTTCTGTCAGGTCATGGCCTGGCGCACCGTTTATGTCTACCATGCCTGCCACCCAGCGCCTGATGCTCCACTACCTAGCTGAAAAAGCCGCCCTCTCCAACGGCGGCCCCTTCCCCCCCCCAAAAAGGAGCCTTTCGCAGAGCCCAACAAACCGTCCGGGGCATTAAAATCGTAGTTTAATCGGGCAACGGTTGATGAGCCGCTAAAAGGCGATCTTGCAGATGCAATTGTTTTGTAGATGCTAGCGTATCTCTCTGGTCGGATCCTGCACCTTTTACGTTCGCTTTTGCTTTTGGCTTGCAATCTGACATTGCACAAAAGCCTGTGTCTGTTCTTCTGGGGGGTGAGGCATGGGGAGGCGGGGCGGGGCGGGTTAGGCAAAGGACAGGTAACAGCACCAGGGGGTGTAAAGGGTGGGCATGAAGGGGAAAGGGTCGGCGACATTGTTCCTTTGTTGAGCTGGTCATCCCAGCTCGGCTTTGCAGATTCTTTCCTTCTTTCCTTCTGCCGTACTTTTGCCGCGTGATCGGCTTTCGGACGATCTGGCCGTCATGAATCGAATGCATTCGGATGACATTGCCCAATGTGATCACCATCCGCCTGCTCGTTCCAGCACGTCCTGCGGCGGGAGGCAAGAAAGAAGGAAAGAGAAAAGTGGTTAGCCGACAAGCCACTCCGCACCTCGATACAGACCGCGCTGTGGTCGTTGCGATGGCCCATAAGCAAGGGCAGGAAAATTGGGCCGGCGAGTTGCTTCGATCCCATCGCTCCGGTCACGGTCGACTGATGCCACCGTGCGAACAACTGCATGAACGCACAAAAAAATGGGTCTCGGAAAGGTCGATTGTGTAATGATTATTGATTACACAGAGTAACAAGCCGCACTTTGATTTCCGCGTCGGCGGGTGCCGTCATACTGCGAGCATGCATTCCTCGTCATCCTATCAGCCGTCAAGCCAATGCCAAGTATCGCAGCACACAGGCACACAGACACATACTCACACACACACACTGTTTGTCTGTCTGTTTGCGGCATGCTCCACGGCGCCGAGGACTCGCCAACCGTGGCCGACATTTGCATACCGATCGTTGGCATACGTGTTGTCGGCGAGCATTTTAATCTATCTGCAGGATAGACAGGCGAATATGCAGCGCCTCGGTGTATGAGAAGGCAAGATAACGCATCAACTCCAACACTGTCATTACGCGCCTTCCTCATTTGGCAGGTCCCATGAGTTTCCCATCTCGGTCGCCGGCAACCCATGTTTACTGAACAATGTGTACGTGCGTGTGTAGGTGTGCGGGTATATTATGGAATACCCTCTTGTATGCATGGGCAAGCCCCCCAGAATTCCGAATCCGAGTCATAGCCGCCCCTCCTCCATCATATCATGCTTCAGCTGTGCGTCATACATAGGGCGAATACGGTGTACTACGCGCACAGCACACACCCTCAACTGACACACCCATATGTACGCGCACACACACCTTGCACCCAGCCCCTCCTCCGCCCCAGTCGAGAGATCGTGCCACAAACGCCATGTTTTCAAACAAAGCATATTTTTTTCCTTTGCAAAGGAACAAGATGCCGAGCTTGATTGGGTCCTTGCGCAACGCCCACCCGCCCCAAGCAAAGAAAATGACACCATTCTCTGCCCATTGTACCCTTGCCCAGCAAATCAGGTCCGCGGGAAATATGTCTATTGAGAAAATGCAACCAAAAGCGAAATGGCATTGACGTGCTTCACAAGTCGTATGACTTTGATTATTCTGCACGAAACAATTGCTTTTTTCTCGTAAACGGTCGACATCTAGACGAAAAAAAGAATCTGATAACGGTGACTATTGTAGACTATACAGTCTGACAAAGAGAAATGCAGTTTTGCGCGCGCTCTCTTTCTCTCTCTCTTTCCCTGTCAAACCTTATTTCCTTGCTAAGAAGGTTACAAGGAAGAAGAGAGGCGAGAAAAAGAGGATGCGAGCAAAGGCAAGCGTGTATGTCTGTTCAATCGAATCAAGATGGACAAAGAGGGTGGTCTGATTTCATCGGTCAATGAACGGTAAGGTGACTTCAGCATATTTCGCTTCGAGACCGCCGGCGAAATGCTCGGGCAGTCGAAAAAAAAGATAGGCGAGAGAGGGAGGGGGGATTGCGAGGGGCTGGCATTCCTTCCCCTTGCAGCTCAGAGGCTAAGTGTCGGTAAGCAAAAAAGTAAAAATAGGAAAAGAAGGGGACAAGGTGTGCCATGGCGACAGCGGCACATACGTGGCAAGGTGCGCAAAGCAGAGCGGAAGAGAGAAAAGGGAATGGGGCAAGGACAGGCAGCTTGTCAGCATGCAAGTGATGTGGTGGTTAAAGCGGACAAGGTAGGGGAGGGAAGGTGGAAGGTTGGGGAGGGGTGCGTATTCCGATGATGGTGGCGATCTACGACGCGGCCTATAAGACAAGGATGAGGGGTTGTGAAGAATGAGAGAGAGGCGTGAGGGAGTGAGCCAGCAAGCGAATGTGCAGGCCATGCATGCATATTCAGCCGAGAGATTTCGGCGAGCAGGGGCGAGGGGGACAGACTGACTCTATTCCTTCCCTTTTAAGCGTCAAACCTTGATTTTCAAGTCGGAAATCATAAACACGCGCGGGCACACCCGGTCAGACATCTAGATTTTAGTCTTAGACAGCAACACACGGGGTCGGGCCTATACCTCGCCTGCTGCTTGCATAAAAAAACATGTGTCTGTATCTATGCGCATTCGTTTCGATGTTGACTGGGGGGGTTGGTAGAGGGAGGGAGGGGCAGAGAGACATGCGTATCATTGTTTTGAAACCAAACCGGCCCTATCTGGTCTGGGCTTCGGATAACTGAGAGGGGAAGAAGGAGGGGGGAAGGGTTGCAAACACAGTGATAAGCATGAGATTCAAGGCGTGCAACTGTAGCATGTACAGGGGGTCGAGGATGCGCACAGCGACATGTCCACCTTGCGTGATGATGATGAGCGGATTGGGGGTCACGGCAGCGCAACTGCTGCCATGGGCTGCTCTGCTGATTTGCTTCACAATCAGCTCCAATGACCGAGAGCGTATGACTCGATGAGCTCGACTTTCGTTCGTTCCACGTTGCTTGTACGAGGAACACAAGAGCGGCACACAAGTCGCCAAAGAAGCCAGCACTGTGTATGTGTGTGTGTGTGTGTGTGTGTGTGCTTTTGTGAAGTGAGCACTGCAACAGGGTACACAAAAGGACAAGGTGATGGACTATAATTGCAGTTGTAATTTGGATTGGTCAATTGTTTCTGTTTCGAGCGCCGGTTCGCATGCAGTTGTTCTAGCCCGTAATGATGAAAGTCTGAAAGAAAAAAAAAGCCAGGGAAATTTTGGAAAAATCTCGTCACCGAGATGCGCAAAAGATATGATCAAAGAAGAAAGTATAACCGTGCCCATGCATGCCGCCCCAAAAGAGCCCTCGTCATGACATGACACACACAAGACGACCTTGGAGCCATAACTAACTCTTTACGCAAATATCTGTACTTTGGCCGTAGCCATGCTGCGCGCATCATGGTTCATTGAATCTCCCTCGTAAACACCCATAAGTAGAAAAACATACAGCCGCCGCCAAGTGAAAATGCAAGCACCGCCAGAGGAGAAAGATGCTGTGACTGTCGCGTGAAGCCGCGACACGGTCGCGAAAAACATCCACCAAAAGGAGAGTCGTCAATACACTCGCGCGAGTAGCCGAGAAAGAGCGAAGTGGCCTTTAATACACCGTCGTGCAAGGTTGGGCTTCGATTGAGTCGCGTTTTTCGCCGATTGTCAGACCACGTTTAGTGGTTCTGTTGGTACATTTGGGGGTTCTGTCCATAGGGCGATTGTGGATAACTGCTGCTGTTACTATTGGGACTGTTGTACGCATTGCTGTTGGGGGTGGCATACTGAGCCATTCCCTCCGGAAGACCGGGGCTTTGGGTGCCGTATTGAGGAGCAGCCGTGTTGCCAGAGGCCGCAGGCTGATACCCGATCGGAGGGAGTTGAGGATGTTGGGGCGCTTGCCCGGGGACACCAACTGACTGTCGCATCTGTCCGTAGACGGGAGCTTCGGGGGCACCACCTTCGTGAGCGCGCTGCTGCGCGTCGGCACGGTGTCGCTCCTCGTCAGCCTTGCGGGCGGCCTCTTCCTCCTTCTTCTTGGCCTTCCACTCCTTGCGAATTTCCTTGAATTCTGTTAAGGTTCAGTTAGTATCTATATCAAACATATATTATTATGCCAAGAAAGCAAGGCGCAAGGATCGATATTTGTTAGCTTCCGTCGTCAGAAGCTACCAGTGTGGGGGGAGCGCGACCACTATGGCGCTGCACCAGCACAATCCCAGGTGCTAACTTAGCGCACTAGCCTTGCAAGGGCCACCACCACAACAACAACCATGACGTGTTTGACCAACGAAAACGGAGTAGAGGAAAAAAAAGCACTCACCTTCCGGTGTTCGCTTTGACCCATGAGATTGCATGGTAACGTGGGCGTTCAAGTGGTTCAGAGTACCATAAGCCTTCTCGCACCCGTTCCAGCCGCACTTGTACATGCGCTCAATTTCCTCATATCGCCGGCGTGGTCGCTTGTGTTGCTGTGCGCCGGGAATGGGAACAAATGAGTAGACTGTAGACAAGGGGTGTCCGCCCTGTGCGCGCGCACACTGTCAGTATTGATGGGCCTATATTAGAAGGGGGGGCGATATAACGACTTACAGTTGGTGGTCGCTGAACAGGAGAAACCATTGCAGGCGCCGGGGGACCTGAAGAGGCGGGATGACCGTAGTGCATGCCCGGCTGAGGGTAATGGCCAGCCCATTCAGGGCGCGATGGGTAGCCCATGGGTGTTTGGGGTTGACCCGGGTAGTGCTGCATGTCGTGGTGGGGTGTGTAGGGAGAGTATTGCTGTTGGTGACTGGCGTAAGTCGGGCTCGTCTGGGCGGCGATTGATGGATCTATAGGTACATCCGAGTCAGACTTGAGTTGCTGTGGTGATTGATGGCCATTTGCTTGACCATCTGGGATAGGCATTGACGGACTCTGTTGTTGCGCCATACCACCGGGAGCTTGCCCTTGAGCAGCTGGTTGATACGAACGCTGAATGTATTCGGGGAATGAGCCTGATCGAGCAGACGAGGGATTCAGACTGTAGTCTGAGCTGGGCGTGAGGTTGGAAGAGCGAGGATCTTGTCCTTGGGGAGGGTATTGCGCAGCAGATGCTTGATCTGCAGAGGTTCCCTCAGAAACTGGTTCAGGAAAGGTTGGGTAGGGCGAGGGCAAACCTGACTGCGGGTAGTCTGCTTGTCGTGCGTCCATAGACTGTTCAGAGAGGTCAAGAGTCGAAGGTAGCTTGGACGGACTCTAAGCTGAGGCTGGATGGTTGGATGCGTGCGCCCACAGGGAGGAATGGCTGCAGAGATATGTCCGTCGCGAACCGTCTTCGGATGATTTGCCGCGGTCTGTGGAAGACAGGCAGCTAGAGCGTATAAAGACGTAGCCTGGGTTCGGCCAAGAGATGCACAGCCAGAAAACCGGAGAAGCGAAGTGGTCAGGTCGTGGGTAGCGTGGAAGTTAAACGCGGATGATTTGCAGACGGTGTGTTTTCCACGACGCCCAGGTGGAGGGACAAGCAGTTCGGCAAATATGCGCCGTCGAAAAGAGATGCACGGAAGGTGCAAGGTCGAGGGCACCGGGACAGGGGAGGTAGCTAGCGGACAGAGATCTCTCGAATCGCGGAGCAGCTGGCGCGATGCAGAGTGAAGTGCAACGCAAAGGTTACACAATTGGTGCTAGTGAAAGGACGAGCTTGCACTGCGGGTCTGCTGGGGCGAGAGTGAATTTGGAACACAGCTAGTGAGAGCGCGGCCTAAAGGCTTTTAGACTCAGTGGCGTGCGCGTGGAGGGCGAGGGCCAATCGAGGGGCGTGGAAGAAATGGCGGCTTGCCCAGCAGGCCTTAGCACACTCGATGAGGTAATTCGCGCCCGTCAAGGCAGTGACAGGGATGCAGTGCTAGTCGGTAAAGCCGAGCCGTAACAGTGGGAATGACTGCTGCTGCGGGTGGAGCGGCTAGCACGAGGAGGGGATGGCGCGGCGAGCAGAGTGTGGGACGCAGGCCAGCGTGAGGGTGGGCTTCTGGTGCGCGAGGGGGGGCGTGCGCGTCCGTGGTTGGAGTGCGCTAGTGACGAAGAAACCAGGGTTGGGTTGGGCCTGTTGGCCGAGGGGCGCGCAGGCGGCTACCAAAGAGGTCGCTCTGGATGTGCGTCGCTGACTGGCTCCGCGCGCGGCGATGGGGCAAAGGCGACAGTCGGCCCGTTGTGGTAACGATGACTGAAGGTTTCGCGCACACTGTGGCTCTCTCCCAGTCGCTGCGTGTCCCAGAATGCTCAACTGCGCCGAGCGTGCCGAGCGATCAGCCTCCTGTCGCGGCGTTCGCTGCGGATTTGGCACGCACAACGAGCGTGGCAGGGGGGGAGGGCCAGGAAGCGTACGTCGGCGAGTGGCGGCGAACGGCGACGACGATAGCAGCAGAAGAGAGATGTGTCCGAGGGCAAGTCTGCTTTGGAGGCGTCTCGTGGGTTAAGAGACTGGCGAGGCTGGGCAGACGAAAGAGGTGTGCAGTTTGCAGTGCAGCGTCGTGCAGTGCAGCCAGTGGGTGCAGCGCAAAGCAGACCAGGGCAGATCAGAGCAGAGCTGCGAGGGTGCAGCGGTAGAGGGCTCGTAGCAACAGTGGAGCGTGGAGCGCCTTAGTGACGAACGCGCCGGGTGGGCGGCGATCGCGTTGCTTGGTGGCAGTTGCACGTGTAGTCGCACTGCGGGTGCGCGATCTGGTATGCTTAGGATGACCTGGGGGCCTGGGGGTGGAAGGGAGGGGGGAAGGGGGGGTAAGGGTGACGGCAGCGTTAGGGCAAGGCACTGGCTGGTACCAGGCACTGCTTGGGATTGGGACGGTGGTGGTAGTGGTGGTTGAGCAGGTCAGATTCGCGATGTAGGCTAGAGAGGGTGCTAACACAGAAGACGGTTAGGCGACAAGAAGGGGAGCAGCACTAGTGAGAAAAATAGTCCGACACGCCCTCGTTCCGTGCACCTGCTGACTAACCGGCGTCCTGACGTATTGACCGCCCTTTGCTCCCGTTTTGTTCTCGCTGCGCCAGGAAGCCAGGAGGCCAGGAAGCCAGGGAGCCGAGCATGGCGGTGCCTTCACGCCGGTCGCGTGCGTGTGCGTGTGCGCGTGCGTGCGTGCATCCAGTCCACCCAGTGCCAGCATCCCTCCATCCATCATCCATCCAGCAACCCACCCTTCCATGCCCATCCATCCATACCGGCGTGCGAACGTGCGTGGGCTGCCCGTGTGTCGCTGTCCATACGAGGTCGACGTGCAAAGAAGAATGCAGCCATGGCATGAGGCTGAGAGCTAGCACTGCGCGCTAGACGCGGCAAACCCACGCTGGAGGGACGTCGGGCCACAGTACTACCTACATGGCATGCACCTGCCATTTGGCAATATACATAGCTAGTATACTATACACACATACATACATACATGTACACCACCGACCTCGTCCGTAGCACGCCCATGTCCAAACGCAAAAAGAAAAATGCGCCCGCGGCTGCACACAATCTGCAATCACCGCGTCGACAATCTTCACCACCCGGCCAGCGGGCTTCTGCGGGCCCCCCGGCAAGAGCGGCCTGCAAAACGACTGCATGCAAATATTGGACATGGCACAGACCTCGCCCGCCGGCAGGACTGGCCCAATGCGTCCATGAGAGCGAATCCCGACCGTACTGCACCGCACCGCACATGCCCTCTGGCCTGCCGTGTGTGGGTGTGTGGGTGTGGGTGTGAGTGAATGTGAGGGTGTGCCAGAGGGCGAAAAGCAACCTGCAACGTCCGGCAGAGGGATGCCACAAGACGTTGAGATCTCCTCGGGCCTCGCAGCCTCGCCGCATCTACACTACTGTACATGCTACATGCTACATGCTATATCCTACATCCACCTACTCTACTTACTCCCCTCCGCCTGACTCTGACCGACTACCTTCTGCCCCATCCACTGACGCAAGGCCCGAGTGCCCCATGCTCTGGTGGCCGCCGCGCCCGGCATCATAGCTACGGCATCTCACATGTCCAGATCCACTAACCCATCCTCGACCCTCCACATGTCGCATGGGCCGTCTTGCGCTCGCCTCAAACCCCCGCTTTCGCCTTCGCAAACTTCAGCATACCGCTATCGCATCGTGATTTTCTCCTTGTGCATCCTTCATCCATGCCGGTTTTGCTGTCAGCAGACAAGACTCTGCTGCATCTGGCCCCCACCATCTGGCAATCCCGCAAACCTTGCCGTTTTGCCTGCCACTGCATCTCCTGCTTCTCTACTACTGCTTCGGCCTCGATGCCCGCAAAAACCACCCTGCTATTTCGCTTCGGGTCTCGACACCCCCTCCCTTGCTGCTGTCTTTCCTTCTTGAGATCAACGTCCCTGCTGCCTTGGCAGCCCCAAAGCCACATGCCATGTCACTGCACTCGTGTATGTGGCATTTGTACGCATCTAGATATTCAACGGCTGAACGGTACATCTGCGACCATTGCCTAGCCACGGCCATTCCAAGCCCACCTGGTCCGGTTGCCAGCATCCGAGAGCATCCAGGCCAGCCACCCCCTTTGGCTGCCTATGACATTCGCCTGAATGCACTCGAGTGTTGTCGTCATAGATGGCTTTGTGCTGTGCAAACAGGACGTGATAATACCCACCCTCTCTCAGCACCTGTTGAGCAGAAGCAACATGAGTGAAGCTCGTCAGGATGGCTGTCATGTGATTGGCTGCCCAGTACCAAGACTGATCGGACCCAGGATGAATACGAATAGATGCCACTAACTATTTGCACATGCGCCGTCGAACGGGAGCGGGCGGTAACCTCGATCATAACGCGAACACCACGCCGCCATTAGACTATCTCAACTTCATGTCTACACACTTAATGTCCATGTATGCAATTCACTGTACATAGTCATGCCCCAAGTCGCACCCGTGAATGTCAGCCACAGGCCAGCATCATGGCACCTTGCGAGTATCGGCCGCACCCATGGTCTGATCCGCGGACAAAAATACGTCCTGACGAGACACGCATGGTCTTGTCAACAATTTCCGTCTGGTGTGTGAACTGATGACATACATGAAGAGGGGTCCCTGGGTCGCGAGTCATAGGCCAACGTATCATAACAATGAGAATTGAAGAAAAAAAAATTGACCCCCAGCCATTGCCATGTCAAAAACGTTATAAGGAGACCAGACTAGGGCTTGGCCAAGAGGGATGCATTTCCAGGGCTCACGGCGGCTAAACTCTGGCAGACTGGTGTCCAGGAACGCTCTGCTGGTGCAAGTCGAGCGAGCGAGTGACACTGACAGGGGCCGCCCCCTGCCCGCAGAACCAAACATGGCTTGTGGCTTTTTCTAAGGATCGGTGGCATTAGGTCGAGTTGGACCGAGCGATGCCTCGTGGCGGAGATATGCACGGAGCTTCCCTGGAAGAAGCGAAAGCGCGCACCTTTGGTCATGGCGTGTCAGAGGCAGCAGGCGGAGTCGCGGAGTTTACCAGACTATAGGTGTCACGATGCGTGCGCTACCATGGCCGCTTTGGAGACCGACCTTGGACAACTTGGTAAACATCCATACATGGTCATTGCTGCACGCCGACGCACACACACATCACCTGTACAAGCCCGAAATTATTCGCTTCCCTCGTAATAGACTACGCGGCATGGCGCAGCCCAGCGGGCTACCTTCCGCCGATAGAATGAGGAAGCGAGGGCGACCGCGATGCGCACGCATGCAGCGCGTTGCAAACATGGAACATGGAACATGGAACATGGGGCTAGATGCCCTCTACCCTGCTTTGCACCCTCGACTGTGCATTCTTCCTCCACTAGAAGCCCGACTCCAACTATCCTTGCCGTATTGGACATGGGGCCGTGGCATGGAACTGTAAGCAAAGTAGCTATCTATTGTAATGCTGCTCGAGGCCGGACGGTCAGCCAACTTACGTACTGTAAGTATGTATGTATGTACTACGTCCTTACTTACATTGCCAACGTCGACGGCCTAGACGCCTCAGCTGCACATAATCTAGAAAACCACCATGGCCTGTACAGACGCACGTCAGCGCTTAGTCGCATACTGCCATTATCATCATCATCATTATTATCATCATCATCATTATTATCATCATCATCATTATTATCATCATCATCATTATTATCATCATCATCATTATTATCACCATTACCGTCGTCATCTTCTAATAAATACATGCGACGTCGTATTGATCGGGCGTGCCGGATGGAGATGAGATGCATTGTGTGTGCAACGTCGGAGTAGGTTCCGCGCCACGCCACTACCACAAACATGTTCCCTTCACCTTCCTCGTTTGGTCGGCTGCAGCAGGAGAGAAACACGCAGGAGCAGCAGCAGTATCATCGCGACTTGCTCTCCTCAAACCCCCAGTCACTGCAAACAACCACGTCACCAAAGGCGTGGCCACAGACACATGCTCAACAATTTCCACGGTACTGGGGCAACATTGTCTGTCTTGCTCGTGTTCATCTACCTCAACCACCTGTATCATCTTCGGTCATGACATAGTCTCGCATGCACTCGCCCACTTATTGGAGAGGGTCCAATGCCTCTGGCCGTCGTATCCGATACACCAACAGTAGGCCGTGGAGTCGAGCCCAAGCCCTGTGTACCCCGCGAAGCCGGCCTTTGCACCCATCCCTTTCCTCTTGTCTAAACACACCAACACACCATTTCACTCACGACATCGCTGACAAATAAACGACTGTAACTACAGGATATGTGTGCGTATGTGTGTGAGCTCGCCCTCACAAACAGCATCCAGAACAACCGAAGAATGGCCGACGTTGCAGCTTGCAGATCCCTTTGGGGCGAGCTTGGCCTGCACGCTGTCTTTGGCCTGATCCCTGTCGTCACCTGCTGCCTTGGCTGCAGGCCTCTTTCGCCTGGCCCTTCCTTGTCCTCTCCAGCCATGACTGTGCAGCACTAGTGCATCGGAGTCTTCACTCACCGGCTTCATGACCATCTATCTGCCTGTCGTGAACTGTGTGTGAATTGCCTCATTTTATTTCCTACACAAAACCTTCCATGTCGAATCCACGTGAAACACGAAACACACCCCCATGGAAGGGCCACCGGGTTGCTCGATCACAGCATCCACGCGATTCATCCATCCTACGCTCGAGAGTTACAACGTCACATTTGACCCTCGAATATCGGGTTGAATCGTGTGCAACAGTTTCTGTCGGTTATCCACAGTTCCCAACACATGGAAATTGTCCCCTCGCCCCGCCGGCGAAAATCAATAAAGCTTGTTATGTTTTAGTTTACACAATCGCAAGATGAAACGGCTTCCAGTTGGCCACCCCAATCCCACCGATTGATGGCGCGAACCTAGCGCTCGACCGTGGTAACTTGGGTCCAGGTCGACAAGCAGGACGCACCTCTGAACACGAGGGCCCCATTGCCTGGTCATCTGTCAACCAACGGCATCCAGTGCAGCTCAGGTATGCGGAGCGCATGACAAGACAGCATCGAGCTGCACCACACAGTCCCTGTTCTGGTTGACACGCGTCATTTCTCCTGAAATCAATTCCAAAGCAGCAGTCTCGGAAATGGCCGCAGCAATATTCAGACTTTAGGTCTGGTGGTTCGGATTACACACTCCCGGCCCCAGTGCTGCAGATCGCAGGTGTAAGTTCACTGACCCCGTATACAGAAACGCACGGCATAGATCTGGACATGGTGTCTAGATCTCATGCCAAACTTGACCGTTCTAATAACTCGCCTCGAACACATGACTGTGGCCAGGGTGATACTGCTGGTACCGAGCTTGGATGTACGCTACCGTCATTGACCACGAACGCTTGTCAACAACCGGCCTGGCTTCCGCTAAGTGTCCCATGGAACGAGGCAGACGCACCCACCAAATGAGACAGATGGGTCGATTACTGGCTACAACTGCAGCACTCAGCATGGCAAAGCTACAGGGATACCGTTTATCTGTTTGGTATTGTCAGAAAAAAAAACGGTTGAGAGAGTTCCAGACCATGGTCATGTAGTAGTTGATCCAAAGCCAAGTATGCAAATCATCTGCTGCAGGTTGACAATTAGACCGATCCCGCTACTGCACGACACCACACGCTGATCAACGTGTCTTCTCACGCGGATAACACCTGTACACGCTTTTCCAGGATCCGCTTCCACGTTCAAAGATAATGTCAACGCACATGATACCCCTCGCCCTCGCGATACTCATCTACACACGCCGACAAATATGACCGATTACTTTGTTTATGCGTAGACGGGTCTCCCGGACCATGGGTCACCTAGCGTTTGCGCCATCTCACAATCGCCCCCCGATCCGCGGGCCTCCCTTCCCTCTCCGCCCCCAGCCATTTTCTGGATATCCGGTGTTCTTCGGACCTTTGCTAGTCTACACTTTATCTTGACTCTGCTCAGAGTTATTTACATCTGATGCTTGCCCAGTCGAGCTATCAGAAGCCAAGGAGAGTCAAAAAATGACTCACTTTTCTCATGTGTGTATTGCATCCGCTAGCAACCCCGCCATGATCCCGCTCTAAGCGCCTTCTTGTAATTTCCAGGGTTTCATTACACATGCTGCAATTTCGAGATCCCTACTTGGAAAGGTGTGTTTGAACATTGATTCTCACCGACATTTTGATTGCCTTTGTCCGCGGACATGTGGGGAGGTTGCCCTTTCTGTTCATGCGTACTGTTCATCCCCTCGACCCTTGTTTGGTATCTTCCATGAGTATACAAATGCTTCTTCCACAATTTCCGCGGAGCCATTCTACTATGCAGTTGTTCTGTTGGGATATTTGCTATTACAACCAGTCTGGTGAGGAAGTGAGGAAGTGATGCTCTGTGTGATGATGCACATTATCTCTACACAGTTTGCAAAAACAAGCAAACTCGCAGTAATACTTATGGGAGGGAGCAACAGAAGCACACCTCATTAGCAATAGATACAATTGTAACTCGCATCGTCCATTTCGACATTCATTCCTGGAATTTAAACGTGACTTCAGTGTCCTAAAATACCATGACAACGACGCATGCAGTTATTGCAACATCAGTTCCCTTATTCTAGCTGTATCGCATACTTGTCATCTTCATTTGTGTCTACATTTTCTCGACATGCAAGAGTTGAACAATACACGCATTTTTTTTATCATAAAATCAGAAATATTCTCCTCCTTACCTCACATACCACTTCTCTTATCTTTTTCCCCTTCTCCTTTCTTCTCCCATCAAACTTCCACTCCTTTATCCTCTTCCCTCTCACATTCCCCCGATATCAACTCTCACACTCCATCTATATCAAAGAAGAAAAAAAAGAGCAAACGCTCACACCACACTCCTGCTTTTCTTCCTTTCTTCCTTCCTTCCCTCCCTCCACCACTCGATCCATGGTTCTAACTACCTACCTACCCACACATCTACATTCACACCCACCCCTTCATACTCCCACCCACTCCTTCTCTACAACATCCACATTCTCCTCCCCCCCAACTTTAAAGTCGTGAATATGAACCAACATACACACACACATATATATATATGTATATTTCAGTCCTACAGGTTTGGGGGGATGGGGGGAGATGTACTGATTCCAGCAGGTTAAGGTGAAGGTGTGTGTGTGTGTGCAGAGGAGTGAAGTTGTCAAAGTAAAACAAAGAGGAAGATGCTTGAATATAGAGATTAGGATGTTAATCGCAGGAGGTGCATGGTTTGGTAGATTGGATATTCAGGTAAGAGAGAGGGATGGGGAAGGGGGTTTGGGATATCGCGCAAATATGCAGGTAAGCTTATCGACATTTGATTTTCTCCATAGAATACTAGTGTATATGGTAAGTCTTGAATTTACATTACTCTTCTTGATCTTCTACTTATTTGCTTGAAAGCGATGTCTGCTTTAATTCTCAATATTTGTAATGCTGATTGTACATTGTTCCTTTGGTATCTTTAAATAGAGAATACCAGGCAAGCATATTTCCATACACATTGTAATAACCTCGATCTATTGCCTAACAGAGTAAAGAGAAGGCAGAAAAGGACGGAAAACTGACATCAACTGCACAAGGCCAAGGTGCAGAAGAATAGTGAATGGACTGACCATTAATTTGTACAACAGTCTTGACGTGATCATAACGATTCCAACTTGTGAGAGCAACTTGTTCAAGATACGAGGGGCAATACACAATACTCTCAAATAGAGGTCACCTCACAACATATTTCAAAACAACACAATGAGGCAGCAAACTATAGTTGTCATAGACATAATGCATTCTATATTGACTATTACCTGATGAAACTTTTCTTTTTTCTGGACGTAAACGCCGGCGCCACAATGCAACGTGACGAAATGACTGCGGACAGCTGCGGCATACATGCAGCTATCATAAACAAGGAAAACCTATACCAGTCTAATATGCAGGAGAACTGTTCTGCCAAGCCGACATCACAGCCCTGTCTTTGGGGTATCAGCGTATGACAGAGCCTGAGAACGTGCAGCGGCTTTCAGCCGCACTTGGAAAAGGGATGGAAACATGGCAAGTCCGAAATGACGACCTCCAACGCCAAACAAGGATTGAAATCGATGCTCATCGTTCTGATGGCGTGACAAGCGAGCGCCGTCGACAGCATGTTTACCAGCGGCTGTTGCGGACGGGATCACCGTTACCTCCAGTCCAGCCTAATGTACCAATTAGAGTCTGTTCGTTGTCATAAGGGCTAACGAAACCTACCACCACGGCCTCCGCCGCGGCCTCCTCCACGGCCACGGCCACCTCCCCAGCGACCACCGCCGCCGCCACCGCCGTAGCGGGCCATCTCATGAAGACGGGGGTCAATCTGCTGCTTGGACTCTGTGAGAATTTGGACGAGGTCACGAGCTTGCTTGGAGTCTGATTCGTTGTTAGCAATTGAATGTCAGCAATGGACATGAATATACATACTCTCTGTAGTGAAAAGGGTAATGGCAGTTCCGTTAGCGCCAGCACGACCAGTACGACCAATACGGTGGACATAGTCCTCCGAGTTGTTCGGGTAGTCATAGTTGAACACGTGAGTAATGTTGCGAACATCTTTGAAAGCAAAGGTTAGTGACTGATAAAAAACAGAGCGGACGACGATCATGATTGGATCGCGTGAAGCTGCAGTATGTTGCATGCAACCGTCTCTGTGCGCTACAACGAAGATCACGGCATCAAGTCCAGTGGGAAGGCTGTGGATATCTCCTGGTCTAGGAAACCCTTGGAAGAGACTGCGACTTAATCAAGTCAAATATCTCAGGCAGCTTGCTTCAGTAATACAACGGTAATACCAGAAACAGAAGGTAGCGAAGACTATAAGCCTCACCAGCGTGACCAAGGATCCCTGGGGATCAGATTCGAGAGAGATGCAAGCCCTGGACGATGTCATGGGAGCGAATGTAACAAGCGCACAAGACGACCTAAGCAGAGCACAGTGGCAGTTCACGCATAATAATAGTTGAGGTAGGGCTGGGGAAGAGGGAGTGTTGGGGGTTTGCAATCATACCGATACCACGGGAAGCTACGTCAGTAGCAACCATGATTGGGCTCTTGCCCGTCTTGAACTCGTTAAGGACCCAGTCACGCTCGTTTTGCGCCTTGTCACCGTGGATGGCTAAAATTATGTTAGCAGTGTTTATTATAAAGGGAAAAGATCAACTCACAAAGCGCCGGCCAGCCATCCTGACGAAGGAATCGGGTGATTTCGTCCGCAACACGCTTGGTACCTGTGAAGATGAGGATCTTGTTCTCCTTGTCGCTCATGATGGTCTCGAGATGCTTGGCCATGCGGTCACGCTTCTCGAACTCTGTGCAGACCTCGACAATCTGTTGGATACGGTGGTTAGCAGAGAGGTCCATGGAACCAATGTTGACCTGGATCCAGTCCTTCTGGTAGTCAGCAGCCAGTTGGCGGACTTCCTTGGGCCATGTAGCCGACCACATGCAAGTCTGACGATCGGGACGAATCTGGCCAATGATCTTGCGAATCTGAGGCTCAAAACCCATGTCAAGCATGCGGTCGGCCTCGTCTAGAACGAGGTAGGTGACGCGGCGGAGGTTCGTTTTTCCTGCTTCGAGCATATCAATAAGACGTCCGGGAGTGGCAATGCACACTTCAACACCGCGGGCAAGGTCACGGATTTGAGGACCCTTGGGAACACCTCCGTAGACACAGGTGTTTCGAATGCGCGAAGATTTTCCGAACTTGCTGATCTCTTGCTGAATCTGGACAGCAAGTTCACGAGTGGGAGCGAGGATGAGAACGATGGGACCATCACCAGGAGCGAGGAGAGGCTGAGCGTTGATGTGGACGATGGCGGGAAGACAGTAGGTGAGCGTCTTTCCGGAACCAGTTTCAGCAACACCAACGACATCGCGACCAGAGAGAGCCATGGGCCAACCCTGCGCTTGGATAGCAGTAGGCTTTGCGAAGCCCTGAGCCTTGACCTCGTTCATAACGTAGGATGGGAAACCCGCCTCATCGAAAGTTGTGACTGGCTTGGGGATGTTTGTGCCCTTGACAGTCATCTGGTGCTCCTTGCGGTATTCGGCAACCTCAGCCTCGGAGCGCGCGGTGACTGCGGGATCCTCCTTGTAGAAGGACTTTTCGAATTTGGGAAGAGCATCGAGATCTGTTCAGGTATTAGCGCTATTTTTCCGTAAATCGTGCTGCAAATTGACATACCCCATTGCTGCTGTTTCAAGCCTTGGCCCAGCTGCGACATGCGGTCACCTCCATCGCGACCACCGTAGCCGCCACCACCATAGCCACCGCCGCCGTAACCACCACCGCCGCCAGAGTAGCCGTTGGAGCCGCCGCCATATCCGCCACTAAGAAAACTGTTAGCAACTGTCGAAAAGAGGTGATGTGTGACGAAGGGAGAATTCTACGTTGTCGCAGCAAGTACGTGACCGCGTGCTCGACATACAAAAGCAAGCAAAGCGGCGCGGTCTCCGGACTGTGACAGCGCGTAGAATCCGAAAAAAGAAATGTAGCAGATGGAGGGTGTCCATGAAACACGACTGTGATGCCTTTCCCGTGTAAAGGGGATGAATCGTCGTACCCGTACGATGCATATTGGCTTGTCGAGTTGCTATAAGACCCGTATCCAGCGTTGCTGTAGTCGTACCCGTTTGAATAGCCACGGCCGCCATCGCGACCGCCGCCGCCATATCCACCGCCGTAAGACATGATGTGCGTGTGTGAGGTAGAGACTGGCGTCAAAGAAGCGCCTTTCGGTCTAAGAGAGCGTGTTTCGAGATCTGAGACCGCGAGGTTATATTAAGATGTTGTAAAGCGACAGAAAGAGTGTCGCGGGTTGTGCGATAAAAGAAGCACTGATAGAAGAGGGTGAAGGTGTATGAGAGAAGAAGTGAAAGGGAAGAACGCGCCAGGAAAAGTTGCCTTGCCTCTGTTGCGCTTGCACATTTTTTGAGACGCTAGCGGCGCTAGGGCGAAGGGTCTGGCTATTTCCGGTTAGCACCTAACTTGCCGTTATCAGGCCGGGGAAGCCATCTAGAATTCCATTTCGCCACTCTTGGGCCGAACTGCAGATACACTACCATTCCACCGAGAGACTGCAAAATTTGACATGCGCCTCCATATTGCTGTTGGTGGGGCTGCTGCTCTGATGCGAATAACGCCCGACACGTAGCGAACGAAGAACAACAACACCACCACCACCACCAGCAACAAGCAATGCATTCACCGCTTCAGATAGAGGCTGCCACACGGGCCTTCCGTCATCGATGCATTGACTTTTGTAAAGGGCTAGAGTCTCCGTCGCAGCAAACATGTTGAAATGGTAGCATGACCCAGGGCCGGTGATAGGGTGACATGGCATGCATCCACAACCCATCAATTCAACTCAATTCAACCTATTTCCCAGCGCGCAATCCCATGTCCCAGAAACCTCTTTCCATCTGCTCGCCGTTAGCGCACTCACGAAGCACCCGCTTTGCCATCAGTACTTACTTTAGTCGCATGGACAAACACCTTAGCTAGTTCCTCCACTCTGCTTGGACTTAGGCCTGCTGCATGTTTCTCCACAAGCTCGCTTCCCCTCATCATTGCACCCCTGTACTCATCCGCTACATACTGCTCAATCCACTGCCAGTATCTACTGCCAAACCTGACTGTTTTTGGGTCCTCATATAGCCGCTTAGCAATAATGCCGTAGCCTATCAGACAAGGGAGAAGGGCTATCTGCAAGGCAAGGAAGTCTTGCGACATGCCAATGTCAAGGACGTAGCGCGTGTATGCCGTGGTAGCCTGGTCCTCTTCCTCGCTGATGATATCGGCTTCAGAGAGTCCATACATTCTGCAGAAATCAATGTGAAGCTGAATTTCCTCTTGAAGGGTGACAATCTGTTGGACGGAGCGACCGATATCTTGGAGGTTGCTGGATTTGTATGCGGCGAGAGCGGTAGCTCTTGCAAATTGCACCTATAAGATCATCAGCCGTTTCTGTGATAGAAATCTATGTGGCATGAATGAAATAGAGGACTTACGAGGAACTGGTAATCTTGCACAAGATAGTACATGAAGTTTTCGAGTGGTAGCGTTCCGTCTCCCATCCTCTGTACAAACTCATGCTCCGTATACTCTTTCCACGGCCTCTGCACTTCTTCTCGATCAAGAAGGTACGAGATGAAGTTACCGGGTGTAAAAGGGAGAATGTATATTGAATGGAAATGATTGATCGGCCCATTCCCCCGCCCGATATCCGTCGCTGTTTTGATTCCGGCTTCAATGTATCGATTCGCTTCCTTCACAGCCTTGGTCATAGGCATACCGAGAGCAAGGTTGCACGCGATCGCTGAAGCAAGTGAACACCCTGTGCCATGGGTGTTCTTCGATTGTAAGTAATCACTCTCTATCAAGGTGACTCCACTATCTCCAACCAGCACGTTTAGCACTACTTCCCGGTCCGCTTCCTCTTTACTGACAAAGTGACCGCGTGTTAATGGTAGGTGGCCTCCCTTAAGTAACACCCATTTGGGTCCTCTCTCATGGATATGCCGTGCCATCGCAACAATGTCATCAACGTTCTGCGGGTCCGGCACTTCAACGCCTGCAGCTTTCAAAAGAAGTTTTGCCTCTGGGAGGTTTGGTGTTAGAAGCGTTGTGTAAGGGAAAAGATGTTCGATTAGTGTTGTAACCGCAGCTTCGGGAAGAAGTTGTGAACCTGATGTCGAGACCGTTACCTAGAATGTGATTCAGATCGTTGGATATGTCTAATCATTCATATGAAACGGGTGAGCAGAACATACAGGATCAACAACACTCGTGCTGATATTGTGTCTCTTCAACGCGTTGGCGACAATTTTGATCGTCTCTGCTGACGCAAGCATGCCTGTTAAATGTGAGCTTCATCGTCTTGAAACAGGTACACGATGCTATCGTCTATCTGTAGACCTACCAGTCTTGACAACATCTGCCCCAATATCATCACAAACAGCATCAATCTGCCTCTTCACAAAGTCCGGGGGTGTATGATGTATGTCCTGCACACCTAGCGTATTCTGTGCAGTCAACGCGGTAGTAGCAGTCATTGCATAGCAGCCGTGTGCTGCAATGACCTTCTGATCAGCCTCTAGTCCGCTGTTGGTATGGGTGGATAGTTAGTTTGACTGGCTGATTGAAGGAGGGGCGGATGCATGTATGCGTACGTACGCCCCACCTGAACTATCTGAGCCAGCAATTACCAGGATACGTTTTGGCGACATTAGAAAGTCCTGAAAGTTGACTATATCGAGAATTTGCTTCGTTCCCAGACTACGGGCTTGGAATGGTTGGGGTCTGCTGTTTTCTCTTTGAGCCCCACCATCCACCGGCAAGTAGGTACGCGAGACCCACGTCATTCTGTCGTATCTTCATGTTGCCGGTACACATGGGCACTGCAAGAATGATCCAAGCGTAAATGATAAATATTCGCCTTTTGATATAAATTGGCGTCTGCTGGGGCTTTCGATTTATTTTCTCTGCAGTATGCAATGTTTCCACCAATGCCACTCGGCTACCATAATCCCTTGATCTGTGATACACGCTGAGTGGGCTCGAACACCTCGTTGTTCTCGGATGTGTTTGCCCTCGAAGTACTGCCGCTATCTGTAAAGGTTGGGAAAGCTGATGCATCGTGAGTGGCACTGGCATCCCAACCAAGTGTCTCTTCTTTCTCATAATCCATAGGCGCCCATGCCGCATCCTCATCCTCAGGTACGAAAAGACTTTCGGGATCGCGATGCGGCGACTGCGCCTGTACTGAGGTCTGGCGAGATCCTAGGCGGCTTGAACCCTCACGTCGAGATGCCGGCTGTACTGGTGGAGGCATATCGGACTGAAAGCTGCGACTACCTTCACGCTCCAACGCCGTTGTTGATGGCGTACGAGATGTATTCCTGTTGTATGATGTCTGAGGCGCAGGGGCAGGTATGGGTGCGGGCGGAGCAGCGGTGTAGTTGCCCGAAGTCATCAACGTAAATTCGCAAAACAGACCATCGCATCCATAACTGAATTGTAACGGCCGAGTCGGCTGAGAGTAGAAGGCCTTCAAGTTTGTCTTCAAAGTGTCTGCATGCATGACAATGGCTTTGAAGTCTTTGACGTTGATGATGATGTGCATGCCGGGTTGTACGACGAACTCTTCAAAATCTGATGTGTTGACGGCCACGGCTGTGACGAGTGGATGCTTCAAGATCTCCTTTCCATTGGAGATCTTTTCGGTATAACTCTTGAATACGCAGCGACTGTCGTCTCCTGCAAATATGTCGAGCATTTCGGTTTTGGTACCAAAATACTCAATGTACTCTCTCACAGCACCAGCGTGCATGGCCCACCGGTTTTTTGCTACCGACCGATCAAACAGTGCATGCATCACATCCACAGCTTCGTAAGTGAGCTTGTATGTTTTGATAACACCCTGGTTGCAAACCATCTTGACAATGAACCGACATTGTGTCTCGTTCTCTCGTTCTTGCACGCTCACTTCACAGCGATCTATCGCACCATCCCGCCCTACTGGATCGTACAGGCGCCCTTTGAAGACTGACAAGAGGGCCTTGGTGTACATGCTGCACGTGAAGCGACCCTCGGGTCCACCATGGCTTGGGATACACTCATAACTGGCGAAGAATTGCCTGCCATCTAAAGTGACGGCGGCATATGCGGATTTGGAAGAGTTGAGTGCAGTAAACGTGAACTGCGACAAAACGTATGAGACGACAAGCTGACTTTGAGGACAAACGGCAAACCCACCTTTTCTCGACGCGCTTCGATGGCTACGGTGTCGCTGAATTTGCCTAGACAGACAAGAAGATCATGGACTTTAGAAGCCGCCTCGGGGGTGAGGGTGAAGTTGAGAACGACCATTTCGTATGACTATTTGCATAGTGGCGAGAGGCATGCATGTCATACCGCAGCGCTCGTGAGGTGGCCAAAAGCGGAAAGACCGCGTTTTTGACGCGCTAGCGTATTGACATCATCGCGCCTGCTACTCGGGGTATGGTAAACAACATAACTTCATGAATAGCCCATCCAAGACGTCATGGCTCAAGCGGTGCTCCCAGACGATATCTTACATCTCTTATGCGAGGAACTCGCCAGCCAGGAGCAATTTGATACCCTCTTCAACTGCGCTTGTGCGAGCCGCGCCCTTGCCGTCCCTGCGTTAACTCAGCTGTACAAGTACTTGACACCAGCCCGGCTCAGTTGATTATCATCTTTGCTGATACGAACAAAAGATCTCACCATCTTGCACCGGTTCGGGGTGGCGGGGAAGATCTCTACGGTTTACCGGCCGCCACTAATCTACTCACTATCCAGAAATGGTCCATCTTATGGCGGTCCATTGTTGCCTCGAGCCTTGGCGCCACTCTTTTCCCCTATTGTCGTTATATCAGATCACTTGACTTCCGCGATCTCGGTTACCTCCTCGAAGACGACCAATTCCGCGCCAAGATATCAAAGTTAGTTCAGATGGCCTGGGTGAGACTCGACTAAGACACTTACACCCCTAGACAATTCTTCTCCGGTCCACTGAAGCAGTTTGAGAAGACAGAGACCCTGACGAACATCAAAAGCAGGAAGTTTACGCGAATCAAGACAGCGGATGTCATCGATGCCATTGGTGAAGGTGTGTTTGCGATCTACTCTCATGCTATGTTTGAAATTCTGACATTCTGCAGTGGTGACACAACACACACCCACTCTCGAGGTGATCAGTGGAGAACGTACGTACAAGCTATTTAAGTGAATTGAAGAAACAACTAACACCCTGGAGTTCAACCTGGTGCTCTTGTCCGATGGACACCGCGTCTCCCACGGCTACAAAGCCTCGAATTATGGGATGGCAAGCCACTGGAAGACGAGCTAGTCCACGCATCCATATACGAGCATTGCCCACACTTCAATTCTCTGATGATCTACACATGGCGCTCTACTAACAATGACCAAAAGTTCGCCAAGTTCCTTTCTTCTATGCGACCTAATACGCTGCAAACGCTACAAACCATCAGCGATGTTGAAGCAGGCGCCGAGACCTTCCTCGCACTGAGCAACCATGGAAAATCACTCGAAGATCTTCGCCTATGTGTGACCAAAGATTCAATACCGCACCTAGCTCTCCTAAAAGGATGTACGGCTTTGAAGACACTGCGTATCGAGGATATGCACGGCACCGTTGACCTCGAGGCAACCGAAAACGACGTCTTCCTCGAAACCATATCATGGTTGCAAAAATGTTCAAACCTCCAGCGTCTTAGCTTCTCCAAACTGCAGTCTGGGGCCGCAATCATCACCCCTGTACTGTTGGAAGAAAAGATTCAACTCAGCAGTCTAGAAATAGATTCCTACACGCTCAAAGACCACAAATCATTCCACCAGGCTCTCGTACATCAACAGTCTTCCCTGCGAGTATTGTTCCTGAGTGGCGACACAGAAGGCATGTTTCGCGATGACCTCGATATTCTCGTTGAATCTTTGAGGCAACTCCGCCAATTGCGCGATTTGCACCTCATCCTTCCTGAGGTATTGCGCGACGATCATCTCAAAACCATTGTCGCCGATCTCGTCCTGCTCGAAGACTTGTACGTCAGCGGGCTGGAGCTCAACGACGACGTACTTCCACATCTAGCGAGCTTGCCCAATCTCCGCACTGTCACCATCTCCGGTATCTCAAAGTTCACCATGGATGGCTTGTTGGATTTCATAGATAGGTTGGGACCGGGGAATCAAGGTATTCGCCTGTCGGTCGACATGGCAGATACGGATACCCTGCTTCCAGATGAGGAATTGGCACTGGTAAAAGACAACTTGATGGAGAAGGCCGGCGGTACCTTTGAGTACATGGCACTAAGAGGTATGTGGTGGGCAATGTAAACTGAGTTACCTATGAATGATTCCTGACTAACAGTGTGTGCTTCCACCAGACCCGAATGTACCTGAATTCGAAAGTGATTCCGACTAAGCTGCCGTAAGCAGTAAATCGTAACCTCAAGTTCTTATGGAGTATTGTGGAACATGGATTTGGACGGATTTATGTTTCAGACTATGTCTTTCCTGGTTCGAATTGGTTCGTTGTTGCAGGATACAGAACCAAACCTGGAATAGTAACATGTATGCTATAGATGAACAAAGCCAGGACCCTTCTTTTATGCTACCATCGGTGCGTTGGTGATAAATCGCTTCATAGAAAATGCATCAGCCTATAATGACCTCAATCAACCTCCATACCGTCTCCACCGTCTTCTTCTTCTTCTTCTTCTTCTTCTTCTTCTTCTTTCTCGTCCTCCCTATCCAACCGCTCATTCAACACCTCCAACCTCTTCTCACAAACATCCCTCTCCAACTCCGGCAACCTCTCCAACCTCTCCACAAACCACTCCCCACCCTCCCTCACATACCCCCACCAATTCTCCGCAATAAACTTGGCCAAAAACTCCTTGATCCGATAATGCCCAGGTAAATCCCCATCCCGCTTCTTCCCAAATATCCTACACGCAAAAACCATCATCTCATCCCTATCCGGCGTGATACTCTCCAGCTTATCAACCACATGCTCCATAAGATCATGCATATCAAGTCGATCCGCCACGCTCCACGCCGCATAACACTGTGTCAGCACCGTACTATGATCCTCACTACTACTATTACCCGGATCGAGTGGAAGTCGGATCCCAAACCCGCCGCTTTCGAGGTACTCAGCCGCAAAGTCAAAGTCTGCGGGGTTGACGAGGGGCAGGGCGGGGTGCCGCAGGACCCAGGTGTTGTCGATATAGTCAAAATGGTTGAGGCCGCGGCGGGGGTCGCGGAAGTAGGGTCTGTTCCAGAGGGAGTGCTGGGGGAGGATGCGGAGTTGTTGGGGGGTGGGGCCGATGGGGATGTGGATGAAGTGTTTGCTTTGGGTGCTGCAGGGGGGAGGAGGGTTAGCTGGGGGCGGGGAAGGGAAGGGAAGGAGAGTGGGGACTTACAGTTCGCCGTCTACGGTGTCGCTGGTTGGTTTGTTGAAGATGTTGGAGAGGCTGGTGGTTTCTAGAATGTTGGACTGTTGGAATGGCTTTTTAGGGGCTGGATCTTTTCGTTTTGGGTTGTGCGAGTCTGTAAGGTCTTGCTCGTCTGTTAGGTCTACTACATTGTTGCTTGGTAGGGAGACTACAGACGGTCCGGCACGCTTCTGTGTTGCTGCAGTACGCCTGACTTGTGGATTTGGTAACGGGGTTGGGGGCGATAGAGAGGGCGTCAGCAGGCTTCTACTTGCAGGATTATGGCGCAAGTAGTCATCTCGACTTTCGCGTAAGGCTTGTTGAAATTCGGTGTCTATGGAGTCTCCAGAGTCTGATTCGAGATCAGAATCAATGGTTATAGTACTTCTCATTCTCTCCCGCCAGTACTCCAAGTCCAAGGAAGAGTCGAGGTGGTTGTTGGCCATCCCATATGCATCTCTCAACCCTGATACTCTTGCTACTATTTCTCCCTGTAGGATTGGCATGAACGGATCATATTCGCTCAAATCTTTTGAGGTTGCCCAGCGACTATCTGAGTTAGCATGTTTGCAGATTCGTTGGAAGACACTCACAATATCAGGCTGCCTAAGATCAAGATAAGTATTGTAGGAACACCGTGTGGGCGACTTCGCAGTAAATCCTTAGGTGCCATATCGTCAGTACAGACTACTGCTGGCCATGATGGTGAAGGAGGCAATGAGCCCTGATACTGAACCAGGCTTCCAGGATCTAGCTGCTCCATAGCTTTCCGGATGTACAGTTTTGTCGTGCAACTGCTCGGTATGTACTGAGATTATCGGGTTTCGAGCTCTAGGTACAGTCGGGCGGCAGAGAAAGCTTGATGTGAGATGCACTTATATAGGTGGGGGACTTCTGAATAACCTTGCTGTCTATCACCTGTACCCGTCGGTTCTTGAAGCTGCCTTTACCCAGATCCGGGCTTTCCAGTGTTTACTTTTAGTGCACTTCTTGAACTACCGGCTAAACATGACTGTTAGACATTGACATGCTTATCGGATTCGTAAAGTTACAAAGATAACTACCATTGCGCAGTAAATTAACAGAGATAGGTAGAGAGAGAGAGAGTTCTTTGAACCTGTGCTATGATATACGTTATATGATGCACCTCTTACTTGATCTTCCCTGACGCTGCCTCGCTCATCGGATCCCAGAATCTCTAAGCCATATTTCATAGAACATTCTCCGACTAGGATAAGGGCCGGATACTCAGTTGGCGTATTTTCGGTACTAGCAAGTTTAAGCGTTAGTTCCCTCGACTACAAGGGTGCCATGTGCAAATAAATGGACAAGCAGCGGACTGTAGAGCTTGTTGCAACGACCTGTTGTAAATCAGACGTCTATTCACTCTTTCACCACTCACTCTCTTAATAAGTACTCATCTCACTAAATACGAACCAATATTCTCTCTAGCCGCCATGTAGCTTTCCAGCCCTACCATGCACTCTATACACCAATTGTCTTGGCAACGGCACCTCGTATAGCGCAGCTGCGGAGTTGGTCGCTCCACAGCTCGGGAGTTGACTAAGCTGCCCGCAACAACCAATCCAAGGACATCTGGCATTTACCCTTCCGCGAGCATCAACCTCCAACGAAACGACGACGACGACGCGCGCCAAATCCCCGCTGCGCTCGTTCCCGCTTTCAGAAAAAAAAGCCCACTTGTCCGCGACACATACACACACGCATACACCGAACAAGGACAATCAATCCTCGCAAATAGGAAATTCGGCAAACGGGACCAACCCAACCTCCACGCATCCACCGCGGATCTCTCAACTTTCCCACTACACCCACCCACCCCCCATACATACACACACGTCAAACCTGTCGCAACCATGTTCGGCGTCGCAGGCATGCAACCACGGCAACTCGCCGCCCAAGTCCTCAACTTCGCACTCGTCCTCTCCACCGCATTCATGATGTGGAAGGGTCTCTCCGTCGTGGCCGACTCGCCCTCCCCAATCGTCGTCGTACTGTCTGGATCCATGGAACCCGCGTTCCAGCGCGGTGACCTGCTGTTTTTGTGGAACAGAGGCTTGGATACGCAGATTGGCGAGATTGTCGTGTATAATGTCAAGGGCAAGGATATTCCGATTGTGCATCGTGTGGTTAGGAGGTATGGTGGAGGGTAAGTTTTGGTACTTTTTTCCTTAATGTTCTGATTCTTTGTAGCATTGGATCCGCATGTGGGATGATGTTTTTTTTGTTTTTTTTTTGGAAGGGATGCTGTGCTGACGAATATTTTTTTGATAACAGTAAAACTCCTCTCCGTCTCCTTACGAAAGGTGACAATAACCTTGCAGACGATACGGAACTCTATGCTCGCGGACAGTCCTTCCTTAACCGTAAGGAGGATGTGATTGGAAGTGTCGTTGGGTTCATACCGTTTGTGGGATACGTTACCATTCTGCTGAGCGAGCACCCATGGCTGAAGCAAGTCATGCTGGGAATCATGGGTGTTATGGTGGTGTTGCAGAGGGAGTAGCGTGTGTATGATTGGGAACGAAAAACAGTGTGTATCGAGGTTCATTATAGACTTTGGATTCTATCATATTTGCGTCCATCTTATTCAGTGGTGAAGATGTTTGCTCTGCATCATTGCAGTGCTATGCCTTGAAGTGAATACTCTAGACATCCACATCACGCCCCGAAACCATATAGTCGAATCTAAACCAAAATACTTACCGCTGTGGTGATCATACACTTGCACTTACCTTTTGACAAGAGGAGGGTTTTTTTTTTAAAAAAAAAGGCAGTGAACCTCTGCCAATCTCACACAAACCCAACATCCATCCATCCATTCTTTCCCCCACCATACCTTCACCTTCACCTTCAACCCGCAACTTTCAAAAAGATAAAACAAAAAAAAAAGAGAAACAATCATGCGCCGTACGGGGTTCGACTACACATCGCTTTGTCAGCCCACTAATTCGAACTCTTTGCCTTTGAGATTTCAACTTACACCCGTGATCCCCGCCTTATAACTTCCCATGTATGAGCTTGGGAAGGCGATAGCATAGCCACTAGCCCAACGACGCTATCTCGACTGTTTTTTTGTTTGATCTTGAGTTCGATGAGGTGACAGGTAAATGGGAAAAGATATATAGATGGGCATATGATTTGAAGGGGTTTGGTGGGGGAAGTGGAGGGGGGAGAGGACCAAGAGTGGGAAGGCAAGTAAAC